AGTATATATATATATATATATATGACACAGCCCCATGTCCAGCAATGTGAGCCCCCCTGACGCCTCATGTAAATGAGTCAGTAAATGGTAATCCAGTCAAAACAGCTTCACTTTACTAGCAGCAGATTTCAGGAATACAGTTGCAAAATAAGTGTTTCCTTTTTTTAAAGACGCTCAATGTTCCAGGAACAGGAATTTCTAGCACCTTATTGGAAGAGAACTGGCTGTCTGCTCTTTCTCAGCCCCTGGCTCCTTCCTCCCTACCAATTGAATCCTATTAGGACAATGAGCAGGTAATGCCTCATAGCGATTTTTCTTCCATTGTATTCATTCAAAGCGATGCTCATTATAGGACATGCTAGAAGCGCCCTGGATGGGGCATATGCCAGGCACAGATACTGACTGATGCTCTGTGAACTGTCTCTGCCACATAGCAGCTGGAGGCTCTGCAAGTAATGCATGGCTGCCTTTAACCTCTTGGGTGCCAGACTAATAGGCTGCCAGTCAGCTGGACAAAAGTGGACTAAGCATACCTCTCCTTGGGGGTTCCCTTTGTTTATAAAAATATCCAGACTGTAGATACATATTTTGTGCAGGTCTTGCTATATCGCAATTAGTTAATTCCAAAAATAAATAAAAATCAGATCCTCTACACAAATTTTTGGGGGTCTGTCTATACCAGATTGTAACATGTGTGTCCAGGCCTCTTGAATTGCAATTTGAAAGCTCAGTTATTGGAACTCTAAATATAAGTTTGTATTATTACATCTGTTACATTAAATACAACAATTTACTTATTGGAAGTATGGACACGCATGTGCTAAAACACACACACACACACACACACACACACACACACACACACACACACACACACACACACACACACACACACAGTACAGTTACACTGTAATTTGTTTTATTATTATTTTTGTAAACTATAAAAATACTCTAATGAACGCTAGGCAATGGTGACAGATTACTTTCTCCAATGGACCATCTTCAGCTCCCTATGTAGCATGGAAAATATAGGCATATGTTTCAATTGGGTCCATGTCAGCTCTTACAACGCTATGCAAAGCTGAATTTAACTGCACGAGAAAATAGTGCAAAGTTTATACCTTTAAAAAAAGAACAAACTTCACGTTTATGAGCACAAACCCCGTAAATTCCCGAGATAAACATTTCTCTTTCACAATGACACAAGCCAGCTTAATTGTATTCCAGGCAATGAATAATAAGAAAATAGAATTTAGGTATGAAATTACACTGTGGTGCAGTTGTTTACTGTGATTTAATCTGCTGGTATATACGTGTCCATAGACAAGTTCTGATAATATGTACAAATATCAGTTAACATATATTGCAGATATTCAGGCTGCGCATCTGCAATTGTCACCTTGCCTTTGATCTACAGGCAATGTGTACTTTTTGTATTTAGGGATACATGAAATACAGAGGTAATAGGATAAATGCCGTGCGTTAATATCAGTAGTAGCATTTTATATGTGGCTATGTTATTAGTGACAAGCTGTGACTATGGAGCTTTTAGTGAATACATGCAGAAATATAGACGGTGGCGTGTGGTCAAGTGCACCAAAACTACGGACGTCTACAGTTTCGGAACAGGCATAGAAGACAGAAATCTATATAGACCATAAAGAAGAAATGCATAATTATAGTACTGCTTAGGTGATCGCCCGATTGTCTCCTGGCTAACCAGGGGAGCGGAACCAACCGCAACACAATTACTACTATTTATAGTCATGACAATTAGGCCAACATACAATAAAACAATTAGTCTCATGTACACAAACATAGCCTAAGAGACAAAGAGAGACATCTATTAATGGTTTCTATATGTCTCTTGCACATAACTGCTTATTTAGATTGATTAAAAAAATAATAATATATATATATATGTGTGTATATAATATGTGAATAAGTGCCCCTCTTATTATCTTTCTTTTCATATATAACTCATTAAGGAGACTTTTCTCTTGTCCAGGGGATTCTGTGGTAGCTTCTTACAACCAATTATGTTTAGGGAAGTTTCTTTTTTTTAATTTAATTGGTTATGGTTGAGGGCTTATTCACACTGGTGCTTTGAGTTTTGCAACCGAGACAAAATGCTTTTAAGGAGGACATTCTCACACTGGTGTTGTGTTTTGGTGCATTCTGCAAAAAAAAAGTGGTTTGTTGCATCTTTGAATGTGTTTCCTTGTTGGCCCCATTTTAGTTGAATGGGATCCTTTAAAATCATACTAAATGCACCTTACTGCACACGCTTTGCAGTATGTATTATAGGTTAAAAGAGCCCTCACTATTTCCAGTAAATAGTGGTCCACTGAGTTATATGTGTAATGCCTCACAAGGTGAGGCTCATTTACTCAAAGAGTTGAGAATCTTTACTGAATAAATTGAGTTAAGAATCATTTCAACTGACCAATCATGTGAAAAACAAATTCCTATTTTATTTATTTCATCTGTACATGATTGGGTTTTCAAAATGAACACAGTTACAATTTATTGAAGCTGATTTGCTAAAGGAATTGAGAATGTTCACACAATAAATGGCATGAAGATTAACTTCAGCTATGCAATCATGTGAAAGGCAAATCCCTGTTTATTTATTTCATTTGCAAATAACTGGACAATTGAAGTGAATCTTCACCAATTTATTGTGCAATGATTCTCCACTCCTCTAGTAGATCAGCCTCATTGAGTGAAGATTCTCAACGTCATTAGTAAATCAACTTTACTAACTTTTTATTATTACCTATGTGTTCATAATTAATTAAAAAATTGTCCTCATGCCCAAGTGTATTTATTTATTTTATTAATTTAAATAGTGTAAAAAAAATGTCCCAGCATCTTGTAGAAAACAAAGATTGCTTATATTAGCCCCTACTTCTAAATATGTGTACAGTCTAATGTCCTTGCCAGGGTCACACACGAATACTAAGGGATCATTCACACCTAAGTGGTTATGCTCAGTGGTGCACCACATGATAACTAAGCCTGTGAGGAGTGGGGCATTTTATTTAGTGGTACAGCTCAAATTGTGTCCTAAAATTCCTGCATGCAGCATTGTGGGTTCACTTTACGAAGAGGTTTTTTTTTTTAATGATAGGTGTTCTCTTTAGGATGCCATCACTGCAGCCAAAGAGCACTTTAAATAAAGAGATTTC